TAAACAAAGTTTGGCTACCAGTCCTGCAAAATAGGAAAATCAGCACTCCGAAAATGCAAATGGGAAACTACCCAGGGTCAGGGGCTTTCTCAGCAGACAATGAACACCAGTTACCAGACAATAATCTTCATTTGCATATCCTCCTATCCTGAGGCCCTTCCATCAACACAGAACAATACACAGTTTACATGGGAATCACTCCTCCCTACCCAGGGTCTCACAGTATATATATACCCACTCTCTTCCATTCCAGCATTCTCTGAAGATGCCAGCCACAGATGCTGGTTAACATCAGAAAGAAATTCTTCTAGAACATAGCCACACAGCCTGAAAAAAACACAAAAAATCAATGGAAGTAGAGTTTGCTGGTAAAGTTGATGGCATTTGTGGTGCTTGCACAAAATGAAATAATTGCTTAGCTAGATAATAAATAGATGTGTGAAGGAGGCTCGTAATACCAGGATCCACCAAGGCCAGCTGTGTGAGCAACTTAAAAGGGCTTGGGAGAGATGTATGGGAGAAAAGCAGAAGGTGAATAACACTGACTGTATAAACTTTTTTTGGTTTGTGAACAATTGGGAGAAAAGCTGCAGAATATATGTGGTGGGGACATTACTAATGTTATATGGTTATCTGGGGATTATGGTTGTTCTGTCTGCAGAAGTCATACTGTTAACTTCTTTGGTTACTGAAATAAAACTTGCTGTCAAAATATAAAGACTGATTTACTGGCCTAAAGGGATTGGGCAGTTATTGATAGAAGTTTAGCTTTTAAGTAAATAAGCAATTTGCCCATTCCAGAATAAAACATGGAACAGGAAGCAGTTAGCCTTTGGATCATGTGCTTCTTTAAATTTTGTGATTTATGTAAACTGCATTAGAATAAGTATATTAAGAAAAACAAATATACTATAGAATTCCCTGTCATAAGAGGTTCAGTGATAGAAAACAAGATGGAATAGGAAACAATGGAACCGATATTGAGTTGGAGATAATATCAAAGAACGACTGCTGTCAAGGTCATACAAATGTATAGTGAATACATTCCTATGAAGAGGAGATCATAAAGGAGAATATGATAAAAAGGTTGCAATATTTTGGATACAGTGAAGAGTTGGATCAGTGGGAATGTACATGGAAAAAAAGACTGAAATATGTAAATGGTCAGAGTATAAAAGAAAGTTACTATAAAATATACTTCAGGTGGTATCTCACACCAGAAAAATTATGTAAAATGTATAAAAAATATAATAATAACTGTTGGAAATGTGGGAAACAAAAAGGTACTCTCTATCACATGTGGTGGACATGTGATAAAGCAGTAAAATTTTGGAAACAAATACATTATGGAATTAAGAAGGTTATTAAGGAAAATATTGAACTGTTTTCTATTTCTATTGAATATATTAAATGTTAATTTGGAAAAAAATTTGGGAAATTTTGTTTTACTTGTTGTCAGCAGCAAGAATGAATTACGCTCAATTGTGGAAAAAAAGAAAAGATTCCATCACAATTGACACATTAACTTTGATACTTTTGGACTTTATGGAGATAGACAAGTTGACCAGAGACCTGAAATATACAGGAACAAACAAATGTCTTGAAGATTGGAATCCCTTCATAGAATACTGCCAACAACACTGGGGAAACAAATTAAGTCTGGATATAGGGGTGGAGGACTGGAAAATTAAAGATAGATTTGGAGATATATAAAGCTGAAATTTGGTAAATCTTGTTAATGGAGATAATTTAATTTATATCATTATATGGAAAGAAGCACTAAATAAAACTAAGATGGAGAGTAACCATATCCTTTGTTCAGAATTTAAGATAAGTTTGATTTATAGCTACCATGAAACAACATGAGGTTTAGCAAGTGGAAGTCATGTAAGAATGGGAATGTTTGATAGTGATTGTTACCGTAATTGTTAGTTTATTGTTAGTTAGATGTTTAATTGGTTAAATGTTGAATTGTTGTATGGATTGAATGTCTGTTTTGAATTATCTGTTTGTCTGGAATATATGTTATTTTATATGACGTAAGAATAAACTTTATAAATAAAAATTAAAAGGTTCGGTGAGTCCCCTCTCTGTTGTCATTTTGTTAGCATACAAAGGTCTTTTTATTTCAACTTGGCTTCAGCTTTTAATTGGCAATGACAAAAGAATCATATAATGGAGTGTGCTGTATTTTTATCTTTATTATGCTTTGAATGTGCTTCAATCCTTTTACAGATTTTGATTGGACTGTTTATTTTCTTTTTCATTTTTTGTATTACTGGTATATATTGTTTTAGTTATTTTGAAAAAACTATAAGCTGCCTTGGGCTCTATATTAGAGAAAAGTAGGATACACTTTAATTAAATAAATGAAGCCATAAAAAAATAGGAAATATGTTTGTAAAAAAGAGTTTATATATTTGGAGAAAATGTATACAAAATGTTAATTTAGAGAATATGCATTCAATTTAAATCAGAATATTCATGCATGTTTAAAATTGGAAACTGAAATCGAAAGTCATAGAAAGAGATTTATGTCTGAAATCTTGTGAATATGACATGGATTGGAACTAAACTGATTTCCTCCAAAGTTCTATAGAAAGAAATAAAAATGGGAGATTCAGTGCATGCTGTAGGTGTTAAGTCACATAAGTTCATCATAATCTTCTTACCCAGCTGTTGTTCTTATACTGAATGCTTACAGGGAAGTGTTTCAGGTTTTCAAGATACAATGTTGTCCTACTCATTTGTTATATTCACATATATTATGATATGTAGTGCAGAAGTCTCATTTGTATATCCTCTGAAATCTATGGGCACTCTTTACTAAAGTCAGAACTCTGATTTGCCAGTGCTCTGATGCCTGGAGGCTGGGGTGATGACCTCCCGCCATCACAAAGCAATAGAGCACATGTTAGGCTTGTGTATATCCCTCTAAATCACTCACAAAGATCAGAATAATTAGAAGAAATCTTGATACATTTGGAACTGTGTCTGGAAATAAAAATACTTGTTGGAACTATCATGTCCAGCATACCCCATGTACCATGGCCAGTATCCATACTTGTTGAGAATTTTGGCAAATATCCTCCAAAAAAGTAACTTTTCCAAGCTCTGATTTTTTTTAAAAAAATCTCCAATTTATCAAAATCTGTCAAATTGGGCTTGGTTTTTAGAGATTCATTTGTATCCAATGGAACTTTAGTCTGAGGGCTGGCAAAGTGCAGTTGCCTAGAGCTGGTGCAAGTGGATTGATAATGTCATTAACCATTTCCTTCACTATAATTCTACACAAAATTCCCCCTTTATATCCTCTATTCTTACATAGAAAGGAATCAACTAAGGTTAAAAACATGATCTAGAAACATCTGACTGTCCTAATTAAAAATCTGTACCAAGGACAAGAGATCACAGTCAGAACAGATTTGGGGAAATAGAGTGGTTCCCAATAGGTAAAGGAGTCAGGCAAAGCTGCATTCTATCACCCTACTAATTTACATTATAGGCTGAAAACAACATAAGAAAAGCAGAATTAGAATCAGAAAAAAGAGGAGTTAAGATAGAAGGAAAAAACATTAACAACCTAAGGTATGTGGATGACACCATATTATTAGCAGAAGACATTCAGGAATTGGAACAGTTAACGAAGGTCAAAGATGCAATTGCAAAGGCAGGTCTGATGCTGAACATAAAGAAAACAAAAATTATGACCACAGAAGAAATACATGAATTCAATCTAGACAATGAGGAAATTGAAATACAGTTGACCCTCTGTTCTTGTGGGGGATCCATTCCGGACACCCCCATGAGAATGCAAAATCATGTATATTCAAGCCCCATAGGCTTGAATAGAGGTGCGTGCCCATGGGGGCACACCTTCCGTTCACTACCTGAGGATAGGTGAGGGGCACAGATCCCAAGTCTGCAAGAATGGAGGGATGACTTCTCATATCTAGGATCAAAAATTGACCAGAATGGAGACTGCAGTCAAGAAA